ATCTGGCTTAAAACTGAGCTAGTTTGGATACCTGAGTATTGCAGTGTTTGGATCTTTATTTAGCCTTTTGGATTGCTTGCTTACGTTTTCACCAAATTCTGTTCATCTGTGAGGCAACTGCTGTAGGGAGGCATGGGAGGCAGCTGCTCTTCCCTGTCTAATGGCCAAGTGTCAAAGCAGCATTATTGGTTTTGGAGGAAGCAGCACATTTTGCGTTAAAGTATTTTAATATATGTGGCAGAGGAGTGACTGAGTGCATTTCTGCTCCTTTCTACAGCTAATGGAAAGGAAGAATAAGATGAAAGTACTTCATTGGGCATTGCTGATAGCAATCTCAGTATTTCATCAAGTAATTCCTTTTGCTATTGAAATCTTTGCAACTTCTGAGCAGCTTTAAACACCTCCTTCAGAGTGGATCTTTGAAATTCAGCAGAGCAGAAAAGCCGTAGGCTAGAAATGTGCCTCCTCCTCATTCTGTGAAATTCTGTTCAAGCTTTACTGAGAAATAGTAATTCTAGAAATTATTTTTCCATTTTGTGTTTGTGTTCCTCAGGAAAACTTTGGCTTTATGCAAATATAATCGAACACAAATATTCTCAAGTTGCGCATATGTTGATGTCAAAATAGGATTGGAAAGAAGCACTGCACAACATCACCCACTCACTGTAATAAAGGACAGAGGGAAGAAATGGCAGTCTGATCCATATTACAGTTAAGCGTACTAGAGTGTTACCTTTACAAAGGTAAATTGTGTAAGTTGAATGTTAAATTTAAAAGTTCAAACTTTTCGGTTAGGAAACTTTCATAGAATCACAGAATCACAGAATGGTTTGGGTTGGAAGGGACCTTAAAGATCACCTATTCCCATGCCCCCTGCCATGGGGAGGGACATCTTCCACTAGACCAGGTTGCTCAAAGCCCCTGTGTCCAACCTGGCCTTGAACACTATTAAAGATTGCAAGGGAGCTGGTCCTGTCTTGTGTATGTGTTAAGGCAGTGTTGTGAGTGGCCAGGGGATTTTTTTTTACCCTTAATATTTCAGCCTTGTTCAGTGCTCGGGGTGGATGGATGAAGGCGGTGTGGGCAGTGTAGCTCAGCAGATCAGTGGTTTGCTGCATCTGATGAGGGGTGGGTTCTGCTGTTCTTCATTGCCTGCTGACTGTGGTCTCCATGTTCTCTTTCCTTTCTGACAATGCTGTGAACCAGTTCTGCTCACTGATCTAGCAGCAAAGTGAATGGTTTTCTGCTAAGCCATTAAGTCAATTTGCTGTGCAATCAGAGGAGCATCACTCAGTCAGTACCAGGAATGGGCAGGCCTGTGTGCCAGGAGCAGTGGCAGAGGGGAGCGGGGAATTGGACTCTACCCGTTGTGTGGTCATGAGCTCTTAGATTGCTGAGCTGCATCATATATCCACATTTGAAGGCTGAACAAATAATTACGGATTTATAATTTTTCCAGTCTTTCCGTATTCAGTTTAATATAATAACATAAATGCCATTTTCCCTATGAAATACAGTGTCCAAAGTATCTAAAAATACTTTTTCCTAAGTACATCATTTGCTGCCAGTATGAAAATGAAGTAGAGTTCTTGGTGGAATTTGTCTTGTGTATGCAGTAGCATAAGCATGTGTGAATTTGAAAAAGGCTTAAAACAACTAATCAGTTTCTGAAGTCATGTTATCTTTCCATTTCTGCTCAGACACTCCTCAATTGGATTTTTCCAACTCTCTTCCCAGTTGCAAGTAGCAGTCCAGGGGGCTCTGCTGCTTCCCATCATAGATCTTCTGGTGGTTTTTTGTTATGCAGCCTTTTGTTCCTTCAGAGGTTGTTGCTCTCTTGGTTTCCAGGTGTTCCAGAGTTAAAAATGGCCTCAATTCTATCCTTTATGGTATATAGACATCCAGAAAGGTCTGTGGAAGACAAAAGAGTTGTATTCAGAGATGAGAGGCTGCTAGTGAATATTTACTTGGTTCCAAGTTGTATGCACCATTTTTGCAACTTCCCATGATTTGGGAAAGCGTGTACTGATGAACTCTTAAGACTTGGTGTATGTGTAGATGGCATAACCCTTGTAGCCTGTGCTCAAAAGTCAAAGCAGTCTATATTATTAAAATATTTGTATTTAAAGCTAAACAGAAAATTTCAAGCTGAAAGGAGAACTGTGTTGGATACCAGAAAAAGAATTATCTTTATGCTGTGGATAAGAGCTTTTTTTCCATTCTGAAGGTTTCATGGAGATGGTGTGAAAACACACACAGAGTGATAAATGTTCTTCACTTCAAAGATGTCTTGGTGTAATTCCTCCCCAAGAGGCTTTGAGTACTTACGTAGGTGTATACCAAGTTAACTAAAACATATTTTTACAACAGGTTTTGAGTGCAAGCTTTTTTGGATATGTTTATGTGAACTTTGTGTCATTTGACACTGATTTTCTGTCTGATGGACATTGACAGGTTTTACTAACTAACAATCAGCTTCATTCAGCTCCTCCCGTAATATGTGGTGGCTGTTTTTTTAATCCATCACTTAATGTATTTCACAGATGAAGCTATGCAAAAAACAAACCCCCAAACACGAAAACCCAAACGCTTTTAAGGTTACAAAACTACTAAACTACAAACCAGCTGAATGAAGTTGATGGTTAGTCAGTAAAACTTGTTGGAAGATATGATCAAAGGCAGGGAATGGGACAGATTGAAAGGAGAAACCAGATAATCTTCATTCTTGTGACAGACATACTGAAGTACGAGAGAGCAATCTGGCTCTTACTATAGCAAATAGCTTCTTGCTTTAAACTTAGAAGTGGTTGTACTCGTTGCCAGTTGTATTACTGCTGATTGTACCCAAACAAATACAAATTTACTTCCTTTCCCTGCCATGCATGAAGTCCCAGATCCGAGTGATTGGTCCATGGAAAAATCTGAGCTCCATTTGAGAGCAAGTGAAGAGGGTTGACAGGTAACCCCTGCTTTCCCTTGCCTCGCCTTGCCTCCCTGCAGCATTCAGTGCTTTAATTGCATATTTTCTATATTCAGACTGATATCTGGAAATGCTGGCAGTGATATCCATCAGTATAGCAATGAATTTTCATGTGTAAAGTCAAACAATTTTAGCATGGTAAGTTAAAGCATTTTTAAGAGTTTGAAATACCTGAAGACTCTTGGTTACTTTCTAGTTGCGTAATTCCTGCAGTCAGGAGGAGGGAAAAGATTGTCTGTTCTGTAGTTTGTATTTTGAAGTTTGGATTGAGGTTTCTAAGCCTGTAATATGGAACTTCTCACTGTTATAAACTGAATGGAACTGGTGCTGTAATGCCACCATTACAATACCCAGAATGTGAGCAGCAGGTGATTTTTTTTGTCAGGTGATGACATTTCTCTCCAGGATCCTGGCACCCTCAATGAACTATTTTCAGGACTTCTCTAAGGTTGAGGTAGTTTGCTTGTACACACGTCTCTGCTCTTTCCATGCCTCCTGGATTTAAAGACACTTGTGGCAGAAGGAAGTGTTAACAAAGAGGTGGTGAATATTCCATCTACCAGATGAAGCAGTCCTGTTGCAGAATCCCACACTGGTTTTCCATTAGATTTAGCCTAGTGAAAGGACAGATTTTCATGAGGATGCTGTGCCTTTTGGCATAAAAGTGAAATTGTGCTTACAGAGTATGCGATGTTCAATCTGATTTAGAGCAAAGGGAGCCTGTGTAGCTCTTAACTGTGTGGATTAGTTGAAATCCTAGAGCACGCTTCCTTGTTTGGGCTAAGTAAGAAATAAGAGACCTCAGGGTACTTCTTTGCCCTTACAAGAGGAGAAAATAGAAGCTGGAGAGATAACTAGCTCGCCTGCCCCCACTTCAGAAATCCCAGAGGTATGTAGCGGCTGTCACAAACCTCGAGAGGCTCAGAGGCAAGTGTCGTAATTGCTTGTTCTCCTTTCCCAGTGTCTGTAGCTTCCATATCCAAACCTCTTAATTATCAGTAAGGATGTGTCATTCCACGCACCACAGTTGCGATTTTCTTAAGGACTCGTGTGAATTACTTGGGCTGAGGATTGGAAGCTGAAAATAGTCCACTATAGCATAGTAGAAGAGCCTGGCTAACAACTCCTGTCAATTTGAGATGACTTAGAAACTGGGTAATTCATTGCAAGACTAAACTTCTAAACTTCTGTGGCTGAACCTGCTGACCTTGAGTTGCTTGTTGTGAATGTAATTTTGCCCTGTAACATGCCCAGTTATTTGATTTATCAAACTGGGAAGTGATTTCAACTGGTTAGATGTTAGATGTTAGGGCAGTGTAGTGACAGAAGTCTCCTTGCCTACCACCTTTATTACTTGTAAATACACCCCAAAAGCACTTGAAGAAAAACACTTTACAACAAGAGAGAATGCTTACCTTGGGAATCACTTGAATGTATTATCCCCAAATGAATACTTTTTGGCTTTAGGCCATTACAGTTTGTTTTCAGTTCAGCTTGCATATTATATAAACTTGAAGCTAGTCTGTTTTGGTGGTTGGTTGTGGTGCGGTTTTTTGTTTTATTTTAATTGTTTTGAGAAGCATGGGGTCAGGTTTCAGATATTTCTGGGTGTATTTCGTCAGGTTGTTTAGTTCTGGAAGAATGACCACGTAAAGCCATCTGACAAGGTAGGTTCTGGCAGTGGCATCTTGTGAGCAGCTGACTGATGATGGCTGATACTCACTGGCTGTTCCTAAACCCCTTTTGACAGCTGTCATACAATGGCTGAACTTTCTGGTGTAGTAATTGCTGATGACCAGTTAAAGGGTATGATTAAGGCTTGTGATTCATCATGAAAGCAGCCCTGGGAAACGTTGTAAACATGGCAGGAGTCTGTCATTACTCATTTTCAGTAAGATACACATTGTGATCCTCAGTACTCTGGTCTTTGTGTGAGGGATTTGGTGACTTCAAATCCTGGTCTTTAAATACGTATTTTGTATATGAAGATACTTAAGAAATCTTTCCTTCCTCTCAACAGGTGGGAAGGAGAAACCAAAAACCAATGCAGAAGAGCTACAGATTAAAAAAGTTAAGAAGAAAAAGAAAAAGAAACATAAAGAGAATGAGAAGAGGAAGCGTCCAAAAATGTACAGCAAATCTATTCAGACCATCTGCTCAGGATTGGTTTCTGATATTGAGGATCAGGAAGCCAAAGGCATCATAGATGATCATCTTAAGGATTTCAATGGGAAAAATATGGATCCCAAGAAGGACTGTGAGTCCAAGATACCAGAGAACAGTGAGTTTCCATTTGTCTCGTTAAAGGAGCCACGGGTTCAAAATAAACTCAAAAGGTTGGACACATTGGAGTTCAAACAGCTGATTCATATTGAGCACCAGCCTAACGGAGGTGCATCAGTTATCCATGCCTACAGTAATGAACTCTCCCACTTGTCTCCTGTGGAGATGGAGAGATTTGCTGAAGAGTTTGTGGGTCTGGTTTTTAGTGAAAATGAAAACTGTGCAGCTTACTATGTAATGGGTATTGTTCATGGGGCAGCTACTTATTTACCTGACTTTTTAGACTACTTTTCGTTTAATTTTCCCAATTCACCAGTGAAAATGGAGATTTTGGGAAAGAAAGATATAGAGACAACGACTATGTCAAATTTTCATGCTCAGGTAAGAGGTTATACATTTTACTTTCTAAAGTCGTATAATGGTTTCAAACAACTGTGAATGGGGTTATTTTAGAATACAGTTGCTCTTAGCTGTGCTGTGTGGATGACAGAAGACTAGAAACAAGGGAATTCTTTAAGTAATACGTTAGTTCTGTGGTATTAAAGATAAGGAGTCGGTTAATGGAGACATAAAGTTGGGTTTTATGGGTGTGGGGAAATGTTTGCATGCATGTTTGTGTGTAGGTTTTCTTTGGGTTTGTTTCTGTAGATGAAGTTTAACCATGAGTTTTGGAGGGTTGAAATGATTTAGCTGTGGCTCTCTGGGTGTCCAAGCTGTAGTTTATGAGCTTCTTCAGAAAACTGGAATGCTTGAATACATTAGAACAATGTTGTACATAAAACCTTTGTAGGGCATAGTTAATGAGTTGCATTTGTAGTTTGAAGGTTCTAAATCCATCCTTAAAGGAGAACTTAGTGGTGGTTAATGTCGCTACTAGTTTGAGCCTTAGCCCTTTGCATTTCCCCCTAGTTAGCTGTGTTCTCCTATGTGTGCACATGACAGCTTTTGAATCTCTTTTTTATGATTAATTTTTAATTTTTGAAATTATTTTCTGGAGGGAAATGACTGTATATTCCCTTATCAATAGCTACAACATCACCTCTGCTACTTATTAACTTGCTGTAGAAGATATGTTACTGTTGCATATAAATTACTTATATTTAAGGTCTTTTAAGTTTGGGGGTAAAAAGTATTCTGACTTTTTTAGGTTGCCACTGTGGTGATGAGGGTATTAATGTAAAGCTCATACAGATACTCTGAAACTATGAAAAAACTCAACCCTGCCTTTCATTATATCAACTTTAGCTCACCATTGCCTGTTTCACTCCCTATTTGTGAGTGTAGAGAGTGTTGTGTGGAACACCTTTAAACTATGTTAGTCTTTGCTTTTTAGATGATTATGAAGAATTCAAGTTAAGTTACACTGTCATCTTTTTAGTGAAAAGCATGTTGTTTTTTTTTTTCTTTGGCAACACAGATATTTGCATGGAACACTATTGAATTTACTGACGAATTTCGGTTATGTGTTATCCACAAGGATATGCAGAACTGAAATGTGGCTGCAATAGAACATTTGCAGAGCTGGTTAAGGAATGTGAATATTCTCTGAATATTCTGCTGTAGAATGTGAATATTCTCTGAAACATAGTAACTATCTCTTTTCAGTATGTAAACTGAATTATTACTTTAATAGCAAAAATCACTAAACATAATACAGGCAGCTACTCAGAGCAGCTCTCTCTTAGGTGATTTTATATAGAAAAAGCTGGATATGTCTTTGTAAGACCAGCCTGTTGGGCAGCAGTAATGCAAGCATGGGTTTGTGCTAGTACCTGCCTTAAATAAATAGTTAAGAAATTTCCCATTCTTCTGTAAGTGAAGGAGGAACAGAGAGAACGTAGTAGGTGAAAGAAGTCAAACTGTGTTGTTAGAGCATTCAACTGGTCAACTTCATACTCTGCCTTCTAACCTGTATGTTACTTGGCTGGAGGTTTAGTTCTGGTATCTTCTTTCCCATTGTTTTCTTGCAGTTTTGCAGTTTTTCATAGCTTTTTATCACTTGTCAGTTTGGTTGCTTGACAGAAGATGCTTGGCTCCTTCTGTTTTTGCTAACATATAGGGTGTAGTGTGTATAAATAGTGCATGCAGGCATACACCAGACTTACTCATATTGTCTTAGGCACAGCATTGCTGTTTCCTGGCATATGTAAGTCAGTGCCTTGGTTGCCTGGATATTGATTACATTTTTCCTTATTATGTCAGTTATTCTGGCTGCTTATTTTGCCTTACTCAGGTAGTCCACTACAATTGAAAGGTTTTGTTAGCTTAGTGTTCTCCTTTCTGACTGGGGCCAGTGTCAAAGATGTCTAGGAGGGAGTACGAGAGTCTAGTAGTGATACTGTGTCAGAGTGCTCGTCCTCCAGGGATGTGAATCTGAGACTTTTTATGAATATGAGAGTTGTGAATTTTGTGATTTTAACCTTCACCTGTATTCTTTGTGTGTGTGAATTTCCGAATTCATTAGTATTGGTTTCCTCTTTTTTAGTTTTCTGCCTCTACCTTCCTTTATAAAAGTTACTGTTGTATAACTTGTTATGTTTTATGCAGATTGATAGTGTTTTTCTGTCTCATTGAGTTCTTTGTGAATCCTTTAAAGGGGGTCTGATATTCTGTTGCAGTAGAATTAACTTAAATGTTAAAGGTAGTTTTCTGTTCCTACATTGCAAAAGGCAGAGGTTTTGCACAGCACAGATGCTGCTGTGTTCCCTGTTGTCCTGAACTGCCTGAGTGATGTCTAGCAGTTACTGTGTATTCTCAGTTGAGAGGAGAGTTGTTTTCTGACGTCTAAGTAGGAACTTTGTTTTGTCAAGTCTGCTTTGAGTATCTATCTCAACTTTCCTTCACCTTAAGAAACTTGGGCATTGCTTTGCTAATTTTAACTAAAACATTGAAATGAGGCTGAGTTGAGTACATGACATTCTTCACTTGGTTTTGAGAACTCCCTTTAGCACATGGAATCAGTCTGACTAATGGAAGTATTTAAAAAAATCTAAAAAAGAAAAAAAAATAGGAAGGAGGGATGAGCTAAGCCTGAAGTGGAAAGTATTACAGAGTATTTTTTGTGTCAGTGTTTTTTGTGTGTATTTTCTGTTTTGTGGCAGATGAGTTTTTTGGGGTTTAAGTAATGCATGTTTTCAAGTCACTGAGTTATGTGGTGAGAGGCAGATTCCACAGTAAATCTATTGGTGAGATCAGAACTGCTGGAGTCCTCTTAAGCCTACCTGGGAAGTCTGCATCTCTCATGTAATCTACTCAGTTTCACAGCTAACTTGTCTCTGCTTCCTTCCCAATATACCTGTGTAGATAGAAGTCATACAGTTTCACCCGTTAGGAGATCAGGTATGGGCAGAAGCTTGTAAGAATGGTTACAGGAGACACAGGAGAGAGGAGTTTGTGTTGGAACTGGTTCTCTTTCATTAGAATTAGCTTTTAAATTTTGAGGGGAGAAGCATTGGGGAGTTTTTCATGTCCTAGTTTGGACCTGTGTTTAGGTAAGTCACTCTTTTGGGTGCTGGGAAACTGCTGTAGGTATATCCCTGGGATCCACCATTTTTGTAGATGGTAACAGTTTCTTCAGTTAGCTAGTAGCTATGAATCTTACTTGCCAGGCCCTTCCGAGTTTTTCAAAGAACCTAAGTAATCAGCTTTTGCCACCTACTTGCAGCTAGATCAGTTAAGCTATTTAGTGCTATTGAGGCAAAGGCCTCAAATATTTTGAACCTATTGCTGTGTCCCCAGGCTGGGCAAATGTAGACTTTCCTTGCCTTGCTGAAACCCCACAGTGCACACTTTATGGTTAACCGTAACAGTGCTTAGTGGATTGATTTTACTGTGCTTCAGTCGTTTCCCAGAGGCGATTTCTTAGTATAGGGGAAGTAAAATGCTGAGCAATATCCAACAATTCTTATGCTTCAAGCCAAGATCGACTGTTTTTAAGCTGTATCTGACAAGTGCTTGTCTGGTGTGTTTGCTGGCGATCTCTAGGTAATTCCACACTTCCCAAAGAAATCTACAGAAACATCTTGTTTTCTTGTTTGTCCTTTTATCTTAATCCTCCTGCCAGTCCTTTTGTTCTGATTTTTAGTGGACAAGGCAAACAGTTTATGCCTTTCTTCGTGTTCTCTGTATTTGAAGATTGCTTAACAGTTCCTTTCCTGTGGTCCTTAGATTAAGTGATTTGAGTTCTTTCAGTCTACCATTACGTGTGTTACCCTTATTGGTCTTCTTGCTATCCCCTTATGTTCTCTTCAGTCATTCTTTCTCTTAAAATAGGGTACTGAAAATGGGCAGTGTCTGCCTGTGTATTGTTGTCAAGAAGTAGATGGCTTCAGGTGTCTTGTAAATTACTGCTCTTTGTTGCTTATTCCTGCCTTTTTCAGAGCAGTTTGTGACCTGCTGTGTAGCAGCAGCTCCTGCTAGGTGAGTCACTCCCCTTTTCGTGTTTGTGCAGGTAACTGTATGTATATATAATGTGCATATCTATATATGTAATTGTATCCTGTATATTCAGATCCCTTCTCCAGTTTATCAAAGCTCTTTTTAGTTTCAATATCAGTATAAGGAATAATGTACATATTTTAGAGGAAGAAATGCATTAGTAATGATAGTTGATGTTTGTGTTGTGACTTTAAGATGAGCAGTTGTCCTCACGTGTTAAAGTTCTGGACACAGACCTTTTCATTCCAGTCCTCTCTTAGCCCTTTTTAATATTATCTTCTCTTTGCTGTCCTTCTTGTTTAGCTCTTAAAAGCTTATCTTTTTAGAGAGGTTTTTTCTGTTTTCCCCTTTTCTAATTTGTGAAATCCTGCTTCAAAGTATTTGTTGTGCTTCTATTTGAGGGGAATTGCTGAAAATATTTTTCCTTCAAGAAAATCTGAAATAATTGGTTAATGTTTCATTTTCTTATCGCTGAAGATTTGTCCAGTGTCCATTTCCATATATTGTGTTATTTTCCTGTGTTCTGGAAAGAATTCTTTGGAACTATGTCTCTTCTACTGTGTTTCAGTAGGTTTCAGTAGAACTTTGCTTTTAATAGAATTCATTCCTTGCTTTTAAGCTTTTTGAGTGTTTGAGAAGTTATTAAAAAGCTTTTATGTTTTTTAGGAACATTTCTTTTATGCGGGTTCTCCAAAGTAGAGCCTCCCTTCATTCTTTTTCTTCTGGATGATGAAAGATTGAATTTGAGCTCTGTTAAAGCTTACATATTGCCCTGGTGTTATTTTTTTAAATCAAATAATCTGCAAGACTGTGAGTGGAGTCTTTTATGATGGATGATGGCGGCCTATTGTCTTCCAAGCAAAAAAAGTATTCCCTTATTGAATACCATTGTAAGAAGATTCAGTTCACATGGAATAGCATTAGAAATCTGCAACACACATGTA